AACAGCATATTGCAGACTCAGTCAAGGGACTGTTCATTTTACGTGTTTGACCATTCTTAGCCACGCCCTCTTGATCATCACTAACAGGCTCATCAGGTTTATCCAGTTCTTCTCCATCACTAAGTTCAAGTCTTTCGTGGATTTGAAAACTCAATTCATTAGTATCACTCAAGCTGCTATCAGTTCTGGCTGAGTTGCATCTCAGCCTACCGCCCCCACTGCTGCTTCTCATACGAACTGCCAGCATATCAGTGAAGCTTTCAGAGCCACTCCCCTCGGCTGGAGTAGAAGGAGTGCTCCGATACGGTAGCATCTTTCTGAGCTTATCTTTACCAAATTTTGGTAGACTATGACGCAAGTGTTTGTCATTGAAAGAGCCGTCGTCACTGCTAGCACTATTAACCCTCACAAGAGGATGGAGCGCCTTGTTATAACGGATCCTTTTGCTCGAGCGTTTACGACGTCCATCATACAAGAGAGTATGCGAGAGTGACTCCTCGTCAGAGCTATAGCCTTGACTGTGAGTAGGGGAGAGTAAGATAAGTGAGGGGAGGCAAGAGGGGAGGGGTGGGTTGGATGGGACCGTGGGACAGTGGACAGGTCCATTATATCATCATCATCCTCTTCATCACTGAAGTCACTCCGACTAACGCTCTTTGCTAGGTTAGGGGAGCTACGGGCGGAGAGGAGGCGGCGAGACCGTGGGCTTGGTAGTGGAGACTGTGACCTCATGCCATCAACGATGACCTCGTCTGATTCACCTTCCTCCTCACAGGCTGATAAGTGTCTCATTCTTGGAGGAGGTGGTGGTAGGTCTAGCATCGATTGACTGTCGGTCTCTGATAGTCCAGTAGAGTCCTCTGCAACACTTTGAATGGGGAATAAAGGTTTCCTTGTGTTAGTGTTTGAGACTTGCTCTCCTCCTACACCAAGTCTGAGGGGAGACAAAGAAAGTTTAAAAGTACATGTAGCAACAAAGAAAAAGACAGATACAGAAAGTTAATATCATACATGTACACGTACATGTACATTATTGGTTTAAATGCTCAAATAAATGTACATGTGTAACTACATGTACTTTGTACAAGTACATGTACATGTGTATTTAGTACATGTGTAACATTATTTATAAAACTAAGAATTCATGTTTACAAACAAATACAAGTGATCACATGTACTACATGTACCCTTTACCTGGGGCTGGTGTAGTTAGGGTTCTGGTATGGACTCTTTGTTAAGTGGGTGGGGGAGGAAGATGAACGAGCTTTACTGGCCACTGGCTCTTCTGTTGTTGTCCGTCGTCTTGGGAGGAGGACACCAGTCTCAGCATGACCGTGGGATTTATAACTTCCTCCAGCTGGATTTGACTTTAAACTATTAAAATAAATAAATAAATAACTATAATAACAATGCATATATGTATGCACAATTACATGTACTGTATAAGTAGAGGGACTTTG